TGTTCTGGCTAGCCCTCAGGCCTTCGCCTTCCTGCCCCCTTTGGGGCCTTTGCGCATGCTCCTCCCGCCTGCACGGCTTTAGCGATGCTTCTGCGGCTGTCTTCAGCCTTCTTACTCTCTCCTACCGGCCCGCGCCTCTGGACCCAGGCACAGCCACACAGCGCTGGCCCCCAGCGCAGGCATCTGTGCCCACACTGCTCTTCCGCACCGTCACCCCTCGCCCTTGCTTCTTTCCCTCGCTATGACGATGTCCGAGGGTGTAGCTGTTGGGTCACCATGGGGCTCACCCTGCTAGAATGTCGTCTTGCCAAGGCGGGGCCTCCACAAGCTCTGTTTACTGTTTGTCCCAATCCTGGGCTGCGGCCATGCCTCCTGGGCAGGGAAGACGTTCCCGTCAGACCCTGCCCTGGTGAGAAACCATGTCCACACATCCTGAACTCACATCCTCACTCTGCTGCAAGATCAGTATGTGCCCCACGAACCCAGGACCTGTGCCTGCTGGAGGGTGGCGCCCAGGCTGAAAAGGAATGGGGAAGAGGCAGCCGGCTGCTAGGGAAGAAAAGCAGATTGGGTTGAGTGTTGTTTGATGGGGTGGAGGGGTGCGATCCGGCTCTGCCCTGCAGAGGGCAATGTGTGTATACATCACTAATGGATCTAGACCAGAACTTTGCTGCTCAGCCCCACCCCCACCTTCTCACTGGGGGATTCTAGCAGGGGCTCTACCATTGAGCCACGCCCCAGCCCCTCACTGGGGGATTCTAGGCAGGGGCTCTACCACTGAGTCACACCCCCAACCCCTCACTCGGGGATTCTAGGCAGGGGCTCTACCACTGAGTCACACCCCAGCCCCTCCCCTAGGAATTCCACTGAGTTGCATCCTCAGCCTTAGTATGTGTGTGTGTGTGTGTGTGTTGGAGGTCATAGGAAAACCTCTCGTGTCAATCCTCACCTTGTTTGAGACCACCTTGTTTGAGACGCCGCAGACCCCATGCTGGCAGGTCCACAGCTTTCAGGGATTCTCCTGTCTCCACCTCCCATCTTGCTCTGGGAACACTGCATCTACAGACATAGGCTAAACACCTTGACCTTACTTGGGTCCTGGGGATTTGAACTCAGATCTTCGTGTTTGCATGGAGAATGCATTTGCCCATTGAACCATCTACTGAGTCCAGTGGTCTTTTTTTTCATTTTTTGAGACAGTGTTTCTCTGTGTAGCCCTGGCTGTTCTGGAACTTGCTCTGTAGACCGGGCTGACCGTGAACTCACCTGCCTCTGCCTGGAGAGTGCTGGCATTAAAGGTGTGTGCCACCACGCCTGGCCTTTTGTCTTTTAAAGGGAGTGCTTGGCTGTGGTTTAGAGCTTTCCTCCCCTGGTCTCTGCTGACCCTAGGTCCATCGTGAGGGAGCACACCAGGAAGCAGCTATTTTTTCCAGATGGGCAGTGTACAATGGCGCTCCATTTGTGAATTTGCATTTCTTGGGTAATGAGTCAGAACCTTGCTTCTCCAACCTGCCTGGTCAAAACCATCACCTGTGTCCCTGTCACCGCCGCTCTCTCATTCTTGTTAGGTTATCTGATTGCTAAGAAGGGACTATTTCCCCCATTCTGAAATCTGCCTATTACGAGTGAAAAGTATTTAGTTACTTAATTCATTTTGAGCCAGGGGCTCACTCTGTAGCCCGGGGTGGTCTGAACTCTCTCTCCTCCTGCCTCAGCCTCCCGCGAAATGGGAAGGCAGCTGTACCGCCATGTCTGGTGTAAGCGAAGCATCTTGATTTTCATATTATCAGCTATTTTTGCCTTTATTTTTCATTTACATTCTTGATATGCTTTTATTTCACATACCCCTTTTGACTCTGTAGTCACGGGCAGCTTTCTTCTGTCTGCCTTTATTTGCTGTGACCAAACCCGAGGGAAAAACACTGTGGAGACGGAATGGTTAATACTGTCAACCCGACAGGGTCTAGAGTCCCTGAGGAGACAGGCCTCTGCTCTTCACAGACACCTGAGGGGGTCTGCACTGCAGGCTAAGTTAGCTGAGGTGGCAAGATAGTCCTGAACAGGACGGCGACCGTTCTGTGGGCTGGGATCTCAGGCTGAATTACAAGGAGAAAGTGATTGGGGCTGGAGCGATGGTTCAGCACTTCAGAGCATTGGTGTGGGACATGCCAGTCCCTGTCCTAACACACCCAAGGGGCCATATGTGAGCTGTTGGCGCTGCGCGTCGAACCTGGGTCCTCTGCAAAATGAGCCAGGGCTCCTCACCTCTAAGCCATCTCCCCAGCACCAGATGTTTAGTTTCATTCTATGTTAATTTTTGTTTGGTTTTTGGTGCTGAAAATGAAATCCAGGGTCTCATGAATGGTAGGCAACCACTCCACTGAGTCACACATTAGCTTCAAATTAAGTAGCCACCCCACATTTGCCTGGGGGCTGTTTTGGACAGCACGAATTTAAGGTGCCTTTAAAATTCTTTAGTATTTGTTTTTTGTCAGCGTCAGGGGACCATTTACAGGAATTGGTTGTCTCTTTCCACGCGGTGGGGCCTGGGGCTAGAACTCAGGTCCTTGGGCTTGGCGGCAGGCACCTTTACCAGCTGAGCCCTCTCCTGTACAATCAGCAAGGGCATTTTTCTTTCTGGGGTGAAATGAACCCGCTTCCTGGGCACTGGTGTTCAACATTCCCTTTTCCCTCATTGCCGTGAGGAGATCACCACTTTTGTATGGGAACCTGTTACACAGTTCTGCCTCTGAGCTCTCGGATGTGTCATTATTACACCACAGTTCCTAGGTAGGGTTTAACCCAGCAAACCCAATGAGCCACTAGGGTGGGGCTTCTCAAATCTGTGGCGTAGCCTTGCCCCTGGGCGTGGCCAAACACCTGGCCAATAAGAGATGGTGTTAACCCTGGGTCAAATCCTTAAAGGAGCCTGTCTTTCATGAAGGAGTCACAAGATGGAGAGCGGATGGAGACCGGGGTCCCCGTGACTTGAACGACCGAATCCCAGTTCCGTGTTTAGCACAGGAAGGTCGCTTTGTTTCCGGGGTTTCCATAATGGGGCAGACATCTGAGTCCCTTGTTGACATACAGATTGAAGGGCCCACCCAGGTCCTGATTCAGCCTGGGCGGGACCCAGGAAATCAAATTTGCAAATTTGGGTGGACCGAGGGTGAATACATTAGAGACCCGCTGGTCTGACCAGTTCATACCATTGGTTTGGGTTCCTGCTCACACTCCTCTGGCTTGAAGAATAAACATCTCGAACTCGCCCGCCTGCTCTTGGGCCCCCTCGTCACCCACCTGCGTCGATCCATTGCTTGGAGGGCGTGGCACCGGCAGGTTGTTTTTGGGCAAACCAAGTTGATACTAGCCTGGGGTCCCGCCCCTGCAGTCTGGAGGTCCCAGGAGAGCCATTGTAGAAACACCCTTGCCAATGCGCCAAGGCTCTGTCCCGGAAGACACTCAAGCTCAGGGCGGGCACCTGGGAGGAGCCATTCTGCTCTAGCCACAGCACAGGTGAGTGGCCTTTCCACGGTTGGGGTAACGCCACTGACCCCTGTGGCAGTGACCCCGTGAGTCTTTGGATAATTGGCCTTTTGGCTCGTCCAGTCAGTAATTATTGACACTGACTGACATCCCTACACTAAATTCGCATTGGGACAGTCAGGGATTTAGGTATGTCCTGAGGGTAAGTGGCTGACCCTTGGGGACACTTCTGTGCAGTTGACTGGGGAAGAAAGCAGAGCCAAGAGGGGCGTGGACCTCTTGCAGCAGCTCCTATTGTGACACAGGGAGTCACCCCTCCCAAATGCAGGGACAGTGACTGAAGATGTCCAGACCAGTGGTCAGCTCGGAGCAGGGCGTATGGCAGGGCGCTGACTTCCTGTCCTGGGCCATTTCTTCAGGGGCGCTGTGGCGCCTCTAGGCGTTCAGTTGCCGATGGGAGCACAGGGAGCTCAGGCACTCAGCGGCAGGGCTCTGGAAGATCTACTCTTTCCCTAGTTCGCCAGCCCCCTAAGCAGAGCGAGCTAGTTCTTAGGTCCCGCTCTCTGCAACAGTCTAGGTTCCTTTAATGTTCCTTCGTCATTTGTTTCGAGACCAAGTCTCATTATGTAGCTGAGGGTAGTTCACACTGGCCTCAGAATCATAATCACCAGCTTCGGGCTCCCGGATGGTGGTGGGATTGAAGGCACACAGTGCCACACCAAGCTTACTGTTTCATGATCTTATGATCCCCCTGCCTCACACGGAGTTCTGGATGAGAGGTGTGCAGCGCTAGGTCTGGTTTTGTCTGGTGCGGGGCACTGGACCCAGAGCAAATGCCAATTGAGTCAGATTGCCAGTGCAAAGTAGATCTCCCCAGAGAGCAGCTGGGCCTGAGGCTCATTTATTTTGGGGCACATGTCGTGAGCTGTGTCGCAGTAGACACTGGGTGAACTGGACAGCCCTGAGTTGAAGTCGGGGTCCAGGAGTCAGCTGGCCCTCACTCCCCCAGAGGCAGGGATGGACGAGCTCAGGCCACAAAGGCAGGGGGCGCCTCCTCCCCCATCGCTGGGCTTGGAGGACTCACTCTCCTTGGACAAGTGCAGGCTTCAACCCCAAAGTGCTCATCTGCTAGTTCCTACACTCGTTAGGATCAACACACCATTTCCAGGTGACTGTCCAACTCCACCTGTGATCACAGCAGGTGACAGAGGCAGGAGAGTGCTACAAATCTGAAGCTAACCAGGTTACATAGTGAGTTTAGGCCACCCTAAGCGATGTAGTGAGACCCTGTCTCAAAACAACAAATGCTGCCTTTTTCAGGAAGAAACAGTAATTCCAGGTCGCTGGGATGTGGGGACTTGTACTCTGGCCAACAGGCTGCTTCCAGAGTTGAGGCCCACTTGTCCCATGCAGGGAGTAGGGTGGAGTGTCTCTCCAATGCAGCCTAGATTCCCAGGCCCACACCCCAAACTTCCCTCCCTACGCAGCGGGACCTTCACACACCACACACCCCAAAACAAGAAAATGTTTAATTGTGAAACTAACTTGAGGGAGTGGTGGCAGGATGGGGGACAGGAGCCTGATTCTTCAAAGTGGCCTGTCCCTGGGCCACCCCTGGGCCACAGCTAGTGTTATAAAATGACAATATAAATAGACTTCTAGAAAACAGAGGCTGTCCAGGTGCAGTAGTCATCGCTGCAGAGGCTGGGGGAGGGGAGGCCCCAACCTTTCTCTCCATGGAGAGAGGGTGTGGGCTCTGGGAAAAGGCCACTCTTCAAACATTCAGGATTGACCCGCCAATGGCTCAGGGTCAGGGGTTGGGCGCCAGGCAGGGCCTGAGGCGCCTACGTGCAGACTGAGGACAGAGGAGCTAGACTTTCTGGGTAACTCTCTCTCTCTCTCTCTCCCTCCCTCTCTCTCTCTCTCTCTCTCTCTCTCTCTCTCTCTCTCTCTCTCTCTCTCTCTCTCGCTCTCTCGCTCGCTTGCTCTCTCGCTCTCGCTCTCTCTCGCTCTCTCGCTCTCTCCATCACCTCTGTCCCCAGGGGCCCCTGATGCAGATTTCCAGTGATGGGCAGCCGCCTTCTCTCCTGAGGACAGAGCACAGGGGAAGGGTCTGTCCTGGAGGGTGAGGGACAGGGAACCTTGCTTGCTCCCACGTCCCGGTGTTGCTTTACAAGTCATGGAACCAAAGGCGGAGCTCAGTAGTTGGGTCCCAGGAAGCCCCCAGCACAGTGATGGCGGTCCCCAGTGTCTCGCAGGCTGTGGGAGTAGGCCGGCCCCTACTGGCCTGTGCTGGGCAGTGTGGCCCAGGGGTCTTTGGTTCAGAACCAGGCTCCAGCTCATCTGGTCCGGTGCTGGCGCATAAGGGGTACGATGCTGGCCGGTGGCCCTGCCTTGGTGAGGAACGGGTGCTTCAGGAGCTCAGCAGCAGTGGCCCGCTGGGCTGGGTCACGCACCAGCAGGCGATCCAGGAAGCCTTTCAGAGACGGCGACGCCTGCGGAGGAGCAGAGGCCAGGGGACAGGGTTACTTCCTACAGGGCCACTTTCCTGTAACATCCTGTGGGCTGATGGCACCTTGGGGGTGTCTAAGAAGCCTCAGGGGTTACTGCTGGGCCACAAGGGGCCCAAAGGCTCCTAAGACTCATTTCCTCCCCACTTCTGTGGGTTCGCAAGAAGCGGGGCAGCCCCTTCCCACATACAAATCCCCCAACAGGACAGTCCTACAGTCTGGCATCCGGGCCTAAGCTCTGGCAGCCTAGGGCTCAGGGGACCTTGTGTTTCTGACTCTGGGCTCAGCCTAGCTCCGCTCACCTTGTGCAGGTTCTTTAGTCGGGGTGGCAAGTTGTCCCGAATCATCTTCATGGCTTTGAGGGGTGGCTCGTTGAAGTAGGGGGGTTCACCATCCACCATCTCGATCACCATCACCCCCAGTGACCAGATGTCCACCTAGGGAAAAGGGACCATAGGCTAAGTGCAGAGAGCAGCCCGTCCTCCGTAAGCCCAAGGAAACATGGCCCCCAGCTGGCCTCTACTTCTCTGTCCCTAGTCCTGGGCCCGTAACCTGAATCCTCAGGTCTCGGGAACAACAGCTGCCATGTATTGCTGTGTTTAAGCTCCATTCCTGTCACTTACAAGCCGCCCTGACTGAGATAGTCCCAAGGATTCTCATGCTGGCCTGGCTCCCTGTGGGGCCTTGCAGCCTGCCCACCCCGATCAAATTTGTTGACTGACTGTGAGAACACCTCAGGGCTAGACAGGCCACAGCAGGCTCAGGTGGCTACTGCAGCGAGAATGAAGACGCCATCCTCTCCCTAGCAACACTGGCTCCCTCATCATCACCATCCCAGAATGAAGACGCCATCCTCTCCCTAGCAACACTGGCTCCCTCATCATCACCATCCCAGAATGAAGATGCCATCCTCTCCCTAGCAACACTGGCTCCCTCATCATCATCATCATCATCATCATCATCATCATCATCATCATCATCATCATCACCATCCCAGAATGAAGGTGCCATCCTCTCCCTAGCAACACTGGCTCCCTCATCATCATCATCATCATCATCATCATCATCATCATCATCACCATCCCAGAATGAAGGTGCCATCCTCTCCCTAGCAACACTGGCTCCCTCATCATCACCATCCCAGAATGAAGATGCCATCCTCTCCCTAGCAACACTGGCTCCCTCATCATCATCATCATCATCATCATCATCATCATCACCATCCCAGAATGAAGGTGCCATCCTCTCCCTAGCAACACTGGCTCCCTCATCATCATCATCATCATCATCATCATCATCATCACCATCCCAGAATGAAGGTGCCATCCTCTCCCTAGCAACACTGGCTCCCTCATCACCATCCCAGCCTTTCCAACAGACAAAGGAAACTCAGGCCACCTTCATGAAGGCTGCTCAGGACTGGGCAGGGGCCACCCCTGGGCTTACCTCTGGCCCGTAGGGAAGGCGGGAGATCAGCTCCGGGGCCATCCAGTAGGGTGTGCCTACCAGGGACCTCCTCCTTGGCACGTCCTTGCTCACCTGGGCACAGAACCCAAAGTCGGACAGCTTCACCTGGGCAAACAGGGGCTGCAGGTCAGCGAGGCCCGGCTACCAGACTGAGCGGCAGGGGTGAGGGCTCTGCTCCCCCCTGGCAGGGTTCTCAGGGGTGGCCTGCGGTTCTTAGGGGATGTGGCTCAAGGCCCGTGGATGGTGAGGGCTCAGCAGGGACCAAGACAGGCTTGGCTCTAAAAGCCCAGGGGTCTTGGCCCTTGGACCTAGTGGGAGAAAGTGCTATCTATGCATGGGTTCAAGAGGAACACAGAGCAGGCTGTGTCCGTATGCGAGACAGAAAGCAAGATAGAGAGAGCAAAAGACTGAGGGGAAAGGGGAGGGAGAGGGAAGGGGGGAGAGAGAGAGACAGAGAGTCAGAGAGTCAGAGAGAGAGAGAGAGAGAGAGAGAGAGAGAGAGAGAGAGAGAGAGAGAGAGAGAGAGAGAGAGAGAGAGCACCTCTGCTATAACCGTACCTAGCACTCACACCCTTTTGGACCCCTGATAGCGTGTATGGCTCTTCTGGACCCCAGAGATAATATTCCCTTAGACTATGGGTACTGACTCAACCATGGCCTCAGATTCAGAGTCAAGACCTCAGCCTAAAAGCAGGGCAGTCAGCTAAGTCAGCTTCACACCACACGGTCTGGACTGTCATTTGGTCAGCCCTGTGCTCCAACCTGGCTTGCTAAAGTGAGGGAGGCACTCAGGATGACACAAGGACCAAGAGGGAGGTTGACACTTGGGTCCGCAGCAAATCTGACACAGGCGTCCAAAGCCGCAGCGCCAGGGCAACAAGGCCCTAGGGGGAACTGTCTGGAGGAAGAGATCTCAGAGTCTAAAACAGGAGTCAGAAACCAGCTTGGGCCAGTGCAGCAAGTATCAGGCCAGCCAGGACACAGGATACATTGTCTCAAAAATGTACACACACCAGGCTTGGGAGCAGATGTGTCGTGAGTTCAAGGCCAGCCTAGTCTACACTGCAAGTTCCAGTCCAGGCTAGTCTACACAGCAAGTTGCAGGTGTGGGAACTGGTTTGTCTCTGAGTTTCAGGCCAGCCTAGTCTACACAGCAAGTCCCAGGCCAGTGGCTTGTCTGGGAAGCATGCAGCCTAGAGCTTGTCTGGGCGCTGGGCAGTCTGCAGCTTCCACTTCTGTGAGGTCAGTGCCTTCTACCAACTTGAAGGCCCATTGTGAGCTGCTCTGTGAGGAACAGATCCGTCAGCTGCTCCTCCAGTCACCACACAAAGGCTCACCTGCCACCTGGCAGCATCACGGGGCGGGGGTAAGGCAAGGACCCCAGCACCGGTATGCACCGGTGATGCTGACCATCAGCTGGAGAAGGCTGAGAGGTGCCAGCTTTCCAGAAAGGATGACCTGGGGACAAGAGCTACCCTCATGTACGACTCTACAGGCGGGGATAAAGGGAAACAGACCCTCAGCACAAGCTTCCTCCTGGTTCCTGGCCGCCAAGAAGGGGGGGGCATCTTGGCTCCAGTCCACCCTACCACCATGGACTGGAACCTCTGAAATGCTAAGAAACAAAACATAAAACAAAACTTTCTTCCTTCAAGCTGTTCTGTCAAAAAGATGAAAAGCTGCCGGGCGTTGGTGGCGCACACCTTTAGTCCCAGCACTCGGGAGGCAGAGGCAGGCGGATCTCTGTGAGTTTGAGGCCAGCCTGGTCTACAGACAGGACAGCCAGGGATACTTGGAGGAACTCTGTCTTGAAAATCAGAAACAATGAAAAGGCGCCTCAGCCACTCTCTCCTTACCCGGCCGTCATGGGTCAGCAAGATGGAGTCACTCTTGATGTCTCGGTGGATGACGCCCTGGGCATGGAGCACAGACAGAGCCTGCAGCACAGCCAGGCACACGGCAGCAATCTGCTCCTCGTTCATCCTGCATGGGCAGAAGTAGCTTCGGGTAGACAGGGCCCTGCTGGGATGCCCGGCCCTGGGGCGAGGGTGGGGAGCCAAGACCCTCACTTGGCTTCAGGCCATCCAGAGGTCCCAGACCTGCCCCAATGGGAGTTGGGGGAATCTAAGATGCCATGACCCCATCCTGTGCGCCTCGCCTGGCTTCCCTGGCCCGCCCACACTGTGGGGGGGGCTTGTCTATCACCAGAGGCTGAAGGGTCCCAGCTCCACCCCGGGAGCACACGGGCCAGCAGGCCACCCAGCAGTACCTGGTGTGGGTGACGATGTCGGTGAGGGCGCCTCCCTCCAGGAACTCCATGACCACCCAGAGCTCGTCACCCACCAGGTAGCTGTTGTACATCTCCACCACGTTTTCGTGCCGGTAGTCCCGCATGATCACCACCTGGTTGGGGCAGAGTCAGCACTGGGACCGCGGGTATTGCCTCTATATTTAGAGCTGGCGCTAGCCAGCCTCTCAGCACCTTCTAGCAGGCTGCACTGGGGCAAACGGACTTAGCTGTCCCCTTCTTCAAAGCCAAGGATACCTCGAAGGCAGCCTGAGGCAGACCCCTCCGTTCTAGGGATGTACCCTGGACCCCTATCCCACCACTCCGTTTCTCTGGTCCTGACTGGTCCTGACTGGTCCCGCCTGGTTTGTGAGGGCCCCGATCACCAGAGAGCATCAAGAGAAACAGGAGACGAGGGGAAAGCAGGGGTGAAGAAAGAACCCAGACGAAGGGCCGGCTGGTGATGGAAAGGTCTGGAGCGAGGGTGGAGGTAGGGAACACCATGCTAGCAGACCAGGGAGCAAGCTCAGCATGAGGAGGACTTCCTGGTGTGGATGGAGCACTGGGATGCGCCGTGAGGGACAGGCGAAGATCGGGAGAAGGAAGTGCAGCGGGACAGCTCGCGCAGGACCCCTGGGGACCCTGCAGCGAGGCAGGAGGACTTGCCACACAGACACTTCTCTGTGCCCTGGTGATGGATGCCCCGATGTGGGCTAGATGGGAACGGTATGACAGGGCAAGGGGCTGTGTTGTAAAATATTTCTTTAAAATGACTTACATTTGCTTATGCTGTGGAACATTCGTTTAATAATGCAAAGATGTGCTGCATTTGTTTAACTCTGGGAAGCTGTGCTACTTTGCTTGTCTAAAACACCCAATTTGTCTAATAAAGAGCTGAACAGTCAGTCAGTAGCTTGGCAGGAGAAAGGATAGGTGGGGCTGGCAGGCAGAGAATGAATGGGAGGAGAAATCTGAGAGGAGGAAAGAGCAAGAGAACAAGAGGCTGGAGAGGTGGCTCAGAGGTTAGGAGCACCGGCTGCTCCTCCAGAGGTCCTGAGTTCAATTCCCAGCACCCACATGGAGGCTCACAACTGTCCATAATGAGATTTGTTGTCCTCTTCTGGCATATAGGCAGAACACTGAGCACATAAATAAATAAGTAAATAAATAAACCTTGAAAGAAAGAACAAGGAGAGGAGGATGCCTGGGGTCCAGCCACTCGGCCACCCAGCCAGCGATGGAGCAGAACTAAAAGTAAGATTTACAGAAGTAGGAAAAGGAGAAGCCCAGAGGCAGAAGGCAGATAGTTTAAGAAAAGCTGGCTAGGAACAAGCCACGCTAAGGCCGGGCGCTCTTATTTGGGAGTGGGTGAGGACACGGAGGCAGACACTAAGAGGTCAAAGGCCCTTCCCTAGGACGTTACATACAGAGCGTCCGGGGCCGAGAGGAAGGCGGGAGCAGGAGCCCAAGGGCCAGAAGGATACACGGAAGTAAGTGGGACGACGGGAGGAAGGGGGACGCAGGCTGTGGACCAGAGTGAGGTGTGACAGTTTCTTAGAGACAGCGACCCTGAGAGAAGAGGTCTGGAGGGGGAACACAGGCCCAGAATGGGTTGGGACAAGCCTGCCTGGGTCATGGGCACTTGGTAGGACAGAGGCACAGGCGGGCGCCGTAGGCTGGGACAGCTGCGAGGAGAGGGCTCCCTGAGCTTCCTGGCCCACACCTACCTCGTTGAAGAGCAGTTCCCGCCTCTGCTGTTTGCGCAGGTCCATCTTCTTGACGGCCACCAGTTTGCCCGAGCTGCGCACGGTGGCTATGCACACGATGCCGGTAGAGCCCTCACCAATCTTGATGAAGTTATCTAGATAGGAACGGGGATCCCCGGGGTCCACCACCAGCTGCAGAGCAGCCCGGAACTGCTCGTGGGACACTCGCTGGGGTTCCCGCTGTGGTGAGCGAGGCCCAGGGGGCCCAGGGGCAGGGGGTGCAGCAGGGGCAGCAAGCGCACGTGCTGGGGGCGCCAGTTGGGGCTCAGAGGCATGGGGGCCCAGCACTCCTGGGCTGGGAGCACCGTGGGCTCGGGCGGGAGGCCGGGAGGATGGTGCAGACTGAGGGGCAGCCAGGCCTGTGGCTGAAGGCCCATTAGGGGCCATGCAGTGTGGCTCCCCCTGCAACAGAAGAAGGTGTCATGAGCGGAGGGTGCGCCCACTGTCCCCAGCCAGAAGACACACATGGGAAGTCGGGATGAGATGGGATGCGGCTGGGGAAAGGGAAGCCAGGGCAAGAGCACACTCGGGGGGATGGGTTACCTGGGCACCACGGGGTGGGTGGTCCGAGTCGGCCCGTGGGTATGTGTTAAAGGGTCTACCAGCTGCTAGTTTCGCCCCACTGGCCAGATTGGCAGGCTGGGGAGTGCTAACATCAGGCCCAGAGAGGGGGCGCTTATCTCGGGAGGCCTCCTGGGGCCCTCCTGGGCCCTCTCTTGAAGACTTGGGCCTCTTCTCGGGCCCCACCCGCCGTCTGTCACCACTGCCACTGCCTGCCTCGCTGTGTCCCGTGGGCCGGCCTTTGCCTGCAGCCTTGTCAGGGGCCATTCTGCCTGGGGCCACCCGCTCCTCCAGCACGCCATTCTCCTGGTGGGCACGGGCAGGTGGTGGGCTGTCTCTGCGCAGCGAGTTGGAGCGCGTGACCGACATGTTCTCAAACTCGTCCAGCAGCAGCGTGAGGGCCCCATCCTTGACACCTTTGCTGCCCCGCACGATGGTCTGGGGTCCAGGCAATGGCAGGGTAGGGCCAGGAAGGAGGGGACACGGGTGGTGCGTCCGACACAGAAACAAGACAACACGGAAACAAGACAGAGACAGTGAAGTAATGGTTGGTGACGATGAGGTGGGGTGACAGGGGGCCCTCAGGTCTCCTCCCATGCCCATCACCCACTCTGGGGGCTCCCCAAGTGCTTCTTGACTGTCCTTGGCCCCCAGCCTGGCAGCGGCTCTGCGCTGGCCTGGGTGAGGGAGGTGAACCCAGCCTGTAATCAGCTCGAGCTGCAGATCACAGCCGCTTGGCTCAGCACTTCCTCCCTCGAGGCTGCCACGCCACTGCCCCAACCACCACCCTGGTCCTCTAGGGCAGAGGGTGGGGTGCACAAGAGAAAGGCCACAGCCTGAAGTCATGGCTAGGAGGCCTGGGAGCGGTGTGGCACGTCCATCCTGAGCCACCAGCCTCGCCGCCCCCACGGAGCTGTGGTCTCCTCCTCACCCCAGCGCCAGGCACAGGCTTCTGCGCTGTCTCCCCAGAACACCAGACGCCCACCCATCAGCTCTTTGCCCTGCCCACAATCTTCCAAACATCTCCACGGCTGCCCTGCTCCCTCCACAAGGTCTCTGAGGCCAGCCCCAGGTCTCTGGCTCTTTCCCATTTCCCTGTGGCCCTCGGTACCAGCAGACGTGGCTGTGCACGCCAGGCTGCTCTACCCCTGCGAGCTTCCCAAGGCCCAGGGCTCTGTCTGCTATTTACAGTCCCGCCTAGGTCTCGGCTCCAAGATCAGCGTCCACACCATGAGGAGGAAGGCAGGAAGGGAGAGGGGCAGACAGGAGGGTTGGGGGAGCTGTCCCACCACTGCCCCCGGGTGGCAGGTAGAGACAGGACCTGGATGGCCTCTGATAGGCTGAGGGCATGCTGGGCTCACAGGAACCACCTGTGGTTCCAGCCTGTCTGGGGTCTTGGCAGTCTGCCTAGAAGTCTGGCCTTGCTCTGGGAGCCGAGAAAGCAAGGTAGATGTTAGGTCTCAAACCCCAGACAAATGGCTGAGGTGCCTATTTAACATATCAAAACGGACCTGGCTGCCAGGCTCTCCCAGGCTCCCTCAGTCCCTACCTGGCTGGCATACCCTGTCCTCTACCCTGAGGGCTGGGCTGCCCTTCCCTATATAACCCAGCCAAATGGCTGAGCTGCTCCTTTTACCGTTTTCTAGCATTTACCCTCCTGGTCGATTGGTCTCCAGGATCTCCCCACCCCAGTGTCCTCACGAGGCCCAGTCACGTCCACTCGGGCCTCCTCCAGACCTGCCTCCGGCCACGCTCTCCCTCATGTCTACAGTAACCCTTCTCCTCACCACACACGCGCGGAGCACTCACGCCCCCTTCACTTCCTTTTTCACTGGGTGGACACCTGCCAGTCTTTGCTGTTAGAGCTTGGGGTCAATGGCCAAGAACTTTGGACGTGTAGACAGTGGCAGCTAAGGAGCCCGCATGTGAATTATGGCAAGTGTCCTTCCTCTTGCAGGCTGGGGGCAGAGAACGGTGGAGGGCCCAAGGAGCAGGGGTGACATTTTGGGGACACCTAGCATGGACACAACCTGTGAGAAACGGCCAGAGCTCAGTGGCACCCAGGAGGGCCTAGGGTAGGCTGTGTGGGGCCTAGGACCCGAGAAGCAGGGCTATTTCAGTCAGTTTCTACCGGCTTCCGGCTGGCCTGCGTCACGAGAAGCCCATACAGAGTCAGATGACGAGGGGCTTTGTAAGCACTGGAGAGAAGACAAGGCTCAGATGACCCTGCAGGGCCAGGGAGGTAACACACACAGCACCTCCCTCAGCTGTGGACACCCACGGGCTCCGCCTCTGCTGCCGGGCTGTCCCTGTGAGAGGCTGCTGAGTCAGCTACAGTCAGGCACCCAGTCCGCTGACCACAGGCACACCCAGCTCTACCTACTGGGCACAGCCTGGCTGGACTCCCCTGGGCCCTGCCACGAGTGGAATGAACCCAACTCCAAAGTCGGCTTCCGGAGGCCCAGCAGGGACACTCTTTTTTTTTTTTTTTTTGGTTTTTTCGAGACAGGGTTTCTCTGTGGCTTTGGAGGCTGTCCTGGAACTCGCTTGGTAGTCCAGGCTAGTCTCGAACTCACAGAGATCCGCCTGCCTCTGCCTCCCAAGTGCTGGGATTAAAGGCGTGCGCCACCAACGCCCGGCTAGCAGGGACACTCTTATCACTAGGCCTGTGTGGCAGTAGCCTGTGCCTGGGAGAGGAGACCATGCTCCTTCTACACATGAGGTGGGGGAAGGGTAGGGACCTTGGGTCCTACTGTGACTCTGCCCTTTTCTTCAGGGTGTCAGGGAAACCCACAAGACTGAAGGGCTTGCTCCCTCCTGCCTGGGTGGCTCCTTGTCAGCCCCGGACTGCAGCTGTCTTGGAGTGGGCTGTCTGCTAGCTTGAGCATGTGGGGCTGGGGCAGGAGTGGAGAGGTCAGGGGCGGGGCTGGTGGGTGGAAGTGGCGATGGCTACCTTGGGGGCTCCCGGCTGGATGGAGGTGATGCAGGCGGGGTCGATAAGGGGCTTGGGTCGGCGTGCTGACTCTTCAATCAGGCTCTGCCACTGGCGGGGCAGCCCTGTAAACTTCTGCTCATGCTGGTCGAAGCCTGTGTGCACACGATGCTCAAAGTTGGACGGGGCCGAGATCTCCACGCGCTTCTTCTTCTTCCCAAACATGGCTCCAGAGCCCTAGCACGGCGAGTGTGCGAGCGGTGGCTGGCGTGGGCTCTCACAGGCACCTGCAGGAGATGGGACCAGAGGCGGGTGGCCTGTCACTCAAAACACACCAGGTCTCTGCCCTGAGGTTCAGCAGAGCGCTAGCGCTCTCCTCTCCTCTCCTCCTTCTCCCTCCCCCACATACCAGCAGGGGGCAGTAGCCTCTTCCAGAGCCCTCTGAGCAGCTACTTTTGTGGGTTGCTCTGTAAGCAACCAGAGCAGTAGTTCTTAACCTTCCTAGCACTCCGACCCTTTAATACAGTTCCTCAACTGGGTGGTGGTGGCACACACCTTTAATCCTGGTACCAGGGGGGCAGAAGCAGGTGGATCTCTGTGAATTCCGGACCAGTCTGGTCTAAATAGTTGGCTCCAGGAGAGCCAGAGCTACACAGAGAAACCCTGTCTGGAAAAATCAATAAACAAACAGTTCCTCATGTGGTAACCCCCAAGCATAAAATTATTTTTGTTGCTACTTCATAACTGTAATTTTGCTACTGTTATGAACTGTAATGTAAACATCTATCTTTCCAGATGGTCTTTGGTGACCCCTGTGGAAGAGTCATTCAAGCCCCAGAGGTGTCCCGACCCACAGGGTGAGAACCACTGAGCTAGAGGGTCAGGCCCAGCTGCCTCCTACTGATAGCTACAGCGAGAGCCCTTCCTGTGGCCCGAGAGCTCATACAGACCAGCCGGCCGCCGCCTCCCATTAGCTTCACACTCGGGGCCTCTGCACAGGCAGGTCCCCTTGCCTGGGACACTCTCCCCTATTTTCCCCAGAGCTCCCTCTCTCTCCTCCTCCAGGTAGCACTGCCTGCTTTCCCAATCACACGGGCTGCTGGCCATCACATCACTTCAGATGTCCTGTACCTGTGGGGAACCTGCTGTTGGTTCCTGTGGTGGCGCCTTTTGCCTCTCCCCAGCCCCACTAGTGCTGACAATGCCTAAACTAGCCCATGCACACAGTCTCCCCGTCCACCCCTGGGCCTGGCACCTCCAGTCTGGCCACTACAACCAGCAGCTACGGGCACATGGGATGCCTTCCACGCTGTGATGTTAGCTTTAGGCTTGGGTCTTCAACTGGACACTTAATAGCACCAGCCACAAATAAATGCCTTGAGCCAGGCATGGTGGCGCACGCCTTTAATCCTAACACTCTAGAAGCAGAGGCAGGCGCATCTCTGTGAGTTCAAGGCCAGCTGCTCTACAGAGTGAGTTCTAAGCTAGCCAGGACTACAGAGAGAGATCCTGTCTCAAAAAAAGGAATGGGAAGCTGGAGAGATGGCTCAGCAGACAAGAGCACTGGCTGCTCTTCCCAAGGACCAGGGTTCAATCCCCAGCACCCACATGGTGGCTCACACCTGTCTGCTACTCCAGTTACAGGGGAATCTGATGCCCCCTTCTGACCTTTGAGGACACCAGGAACCAATGTGAGGCACCTGTACACACGCAGGCAAAACACCCATACACATAAAATTTAAAAACTAATAGTTCTTTTTAAATAAATAAAAAATAAATAACAGCAACAACAAAGAACCACAGGACGATGCCCAGCCCGAGCAGAGGCATCGATGGCTGCAATGCCAGCTACGCAGGGTGCAGGACGGTGCCCAGCCCGAGCAGAGGCATCGATGGCTGCAATGCCAGCTACGCAGGGTGCAGGACGATGCCCAGCCCGAGGCGTCCGCAGGACGGAGAGTGGATCCAGGCTATTCTCGTCACCTTGGTGGGGCTGACTCGAAATAACAGTGAAAGGGCCTGGGCTGGAGCTCAGCAGCCAGCCCCACAGTAAGCGGAGGCCCTGGGCTCCATCCCAGCTGAAGGAGGGGATGATGGTGACACGGAGAACTCAAGAAATGGTGGAAGCCAGGCAGCCCCGACACAAGCCTCCCCTTCCTCTGCCTGTCACTGTCACCCTGAGAGTGACCGAGCCCTCCCTGCTTCTGAGCAGCCCCTTATGCCAGGGAGACTGACCTGTGGGAGGGGCCCTGCTGTCACACAGACCTGGTCTGAAGCTGGCTGGGCTAGAAACACCCTTGCGTAGGGGACGTCTCCTCCTGGGGCTTTGAGTTACTCATCTGCAAGACAGGAAGAAAAGATCTGTCACTGACTCATTCACTAACACCCGCTGTACCCTGGCTAGTGAGGGGACATGATGACAGCCTAGACAGCATACGACCCACCAAGTTGTCCACACAGACGGACACAACAGTCCCTTGATAGTGACAGTGCACCCTGGTAGGGACTGGGCTGACAGTGTGCTACCAGCCAGGGAGGGAGGGCTAAGGGGAGGCCCAAAGGACCAAAGCATGCCACAGGGGACTGCCATCTTTCTCCGACCTGGCTCCCCGGTACCTGACAGGTGGAGGGCAGGCAGGGCCAGCGCCCAGGGCCAGCCCTAGCAAGAGTCTGCTGAGGAAGCAGCTACAGACAAGTGTGCAGGGAGCCCCGGCCCAGCTCCCCCACCTCCTGGCAGCTCTTTCTTGGGGAGCCAACAGCTCAGCCCACAAGAAGGACATTAATGGGCAGGAAGCCAGGGAAACCGGTTTGGCAGTACAGCCAAGTGAGAGGCAGGTGTAGGGGGGAACTCAGCAGCTAGCCTGTCCCAACTGGTCCCAAGAGGCCAGCAGGTGGCCAGCCCTCTGCCTGGACAGGGCTTTCCCAGTTGGTCCAGGGGTGCTCAGTGAGAGTTGGGGCATGTCTGGCTTCCAGCCTCTCATGCCTGGCCCATCCCCATCACCCTGACCTCTGCACCAAGGCTACCCAACCTGGCTTCCCGACCTTCTTTGAAGCTAGGCCTGTCTCTACAACCCCAGCCTGGCACACACGCTGCCTGGCACAGCGTGGAGCCAGGTGCTGTGACCCGGGCTCCCTGTCTCCTTCGTCTAACTTGCTCCTCATCTTGAACTCTTGGCTCTGCTCTCCTCCCTCATCCCACACCCAGGCAGCCCCAAGGTAGCTCCCAGACTTGGCAGAAGAGGGGTGCTGGTGTATATGATCTCACACTACACATAGGGAGGCGCTCAGAATGGAAGAGGTGGGGGAGCGGGGGCAGTGCCTTGCATGCTCCCACAGACCCCCACTCATAACCTCCAAGCCCCGGGCACCCTGCAACCACTTGTGACCCCGCAGGAGAGGGGCGGAAGGGCACACCTCCGGATATTTGCCTGGGCCACCCCTTCCTCTGGGCAGCGTATGGAGGGAAGGACAAACAGAGGAACTGCAATGTTTATAGTGACCTGGCGCAGGCCCCACCCAGGCCCTTCTCTGCAGCTCCTGACCTCGTGGGTTCAGAACTGCAGAGCCCTGCAGCCCAGGCCTCAGAACCCCAGCTGACAGCATGGAGCGGCTGGTTTTTATATCTGTGAAGACCCAGCCCACAGCTCACGGCAGGAAGCTCAATGTGTGACCCCAGGGAAAGAGTCCACTTCAGGCCTCAGTTTCCTCTTGTTAAGATGGTGATGACTGCAGCTGCTTCCGGCAGCTCTCACAAGGAGTCCCACAGAACACTATCACCAAAGCTGGGGGTGCATGCTCAGTGCTAGTCACAACGACGACCAGAGCCAGCAGGAATGTGCACCTACTGTGTGCCACCCCTCTGACAAGCCACTTTACCCAGCATCCCTCAACCTCCGCTCCTGACCCATGAACTCCATGCTTTAAATAAGGAAAACGAGGCACAGAGCCCCTCCCCCTTTATCCAGGGCAAAGCCAGAGTAGACATCAAGCCTGCGGCCCCTCCTTCTGGCGCAGGCAGACCCTGTTTATGGTGCACAGCCCATGCCACCTGCACAGCCTACGACAGAAGCTAATCGTCCCAGTTGTCTGGAAGGAAACAGACTCCAGAGAGAAACTCCCCTGTCCAGGCACTTAGCCAGTGAGAGGCTGCCAGGATTTGAACCTGGGAAGGCGGGCACCACAGGCTGGGCTTGGCCACCATGCTGCCTCTACCTCCTTGGCTGCAGACCTTGCTTTTCTCCCTGTGCTGGCACTGCGGGGTTGGACTGCACCTCCCACATAGCCTGTCCTGGTCCCTTGGGGAATGGGCCTCCTGGACCCTCCTCCCAGGGCCTTTGGTGAGACAGGTGACCACAGAAAAGATGCCTGAAAACCCGTCCCTGCCACCGAATCACTTCATTCTGGTCTAGGGCTGACGTGCCCATCACTACCATGGGGGAATGTGTGGCCCTGGGAAGTCACCAACCCAAGCTCCCTGGCTCCCAGAAACCTCAGGGCAGGGGCTTTGTGAGCCAGTGCTGGGAGTGTGTTGTTGGACTCTAGACATAAGGGTGACTAGGTACCCATGGAGAAGACAACAGATGGGGTAGTATGGCAGGCAGCTCCACCCAGCCAAGGGCACACACTAAAATATGGGTCTTTTTTTTTTTTCTTCCCAAAACAGGGATTTTGTATGGCTCTGGCTGTCCTGGCACTCGCTCTGTAGACCAGGCTGGCCTCGAACTCACAGATCTGCCTGCTTCTGCCTCCTAGTGCTAGGATTAATGACGTGCGCCCACTGTGTGTGTGTGTAGTTTTGTTTTTGGAGACAGGGTTTTTCTGTGTCTTTGGAGGCTGTCCTGGAACTCGCTCTGTAGACCAGGCTGGCCTCAAACTCACAGAGATCTGTCTGCCTCTGCCTCCCGAGTGCTGGGATTAAAGGCGCATGCCAAAACTATACTGTATTTTGAAATGTTTATTTCATTTCTTAAATCTCTTGCAGTCAGGCTGGAGAGATGGCTCAGAGTTTAAGAGCACTGACTGCTCTTCCAGAGGACCTGAGTTCAGTTCCCAGCACCCGCATGGTGGCTCACAGCCATCTGTAATTCAGTGTGGTGCCTTCTTCTGGCATGTACGCAGATCACTGCATATGTAATAAATAAATAAATCTTTAAAAAAATCTCTTGCAGTCTTCAAATTGTGGGGTGTCCATGTGTTCCAGTTCCCCCTGCACCCCTTGTTCCACTCCTAGCCTTTCACGAGAGGCAAATGCCTGTACCCCCCCCACACAAAAGGAATGAGCTGCCAGCTCCAAAGGGGTCGCCCCGCCTCAGTGTACCCTGCTTTCCAGGACCAAGCAGGCCATGAGGGCAGGGGTCAGGTTCCTGCCTTCTCCAGCCCATTCCTCCAGTCAGCCCTGCCAACCACAGCTCCTACCTACATAATCTTAACGTGCCCCCTCTCCCTTTGGTGCTGCTTCTTCCAGGGAGTCCTTGGAACTCCTCCTAGATGGCCCCTGTCCCCTCTCCTGCCCCTCACAAGTGACCTGTCATAGCTACTGGGCCTTCACCTACCTATCAGCCCATTTGAGTGACAACTGAGGGGAGTCTGTCCAGCCCACAGCTCTGCAGCGCTGCTGCAGGGTTCTCACTGGGAAAAGGCGGCTGTCAATCAACCAGGACCACCCAAGGTGGCGGGAGCTGTCAGTCAGGTCCACTGCATGAGGCCTTGTCCAAAGAGGACCTGTACTCTGGAGAGGGGCAGCCAGGACGGAAGAATAAGTAAGGACCAAGGTCCTGAGGAAGGCACTGCTTGGATATGCCAAGGGGGCCTGATGGCTGCGGATGGCCAGGCGAGGGGACCTTGGGTTAAGCAACACGGCTGTACTAGGGCAGATGAGGTAGCCTAAGGTGGAGGAGCTGCAGGAGGGGTCTAGGCAGGGAGGAGTGAGAGCAGGGAACCAGGGAGACGGCCGGACAGCCCAGCAGGAGATGCGATGGACAGGACCCCGGGGGCTGGTCCAGGGCACGGCATGTGAACTCTGCAGGCCTGGCTTGCTCGGCACAGCTTACCCTGGCATCTGGCGGGGCCCACTGGCCTCTGGTCACCCACTCGTGAGTGAGTACCACCCCGAGCATAGGCACAGCTATGGTCTGCTGCACTGGTGGTTCACACGGCTGAAGCTGTGGCAGCCGTGTGCCAGGCGTATAGACAGGTCACTGTGGGTCCCCAAACAGAACTGGGTGGCAGGGATGCTCTTTCCTAAACCACAAAGGTGAAATCAACCGCCCAACGCCACCTAGCACCAGGTCACAAAAGCCCCCACTCTGTCCCACAAAGGTGGCCTCCACTCCACAGGAAGCACCTAAGGGGTCTATGGGACAAGAGCAGGGGCAGAGACAACTGCTGCCACGAGGAGGGACTGTGGAGTGACTACCCACGGGCCTGCAATGGTGACCACAGTCCCTGCTGGAGACACGCGCATCTCACACCTGTCCCCGCCTTTGCGGTCCTCCAGTCGAGCCGTCCTAATCAGATACCACGAACACTCATCACACCTTCGTATCTACAGTGTCTTCTGCTCAGAACTGACAGCTTACTTTTATTGTTGGTTTGTTTTGTTTTTTGAGACAGGATTTCTCTGCGTAGCTCTGGCTGTCTTGGAACTCGCTTTGTAGCCCAGGCTGGTCTTGAACTCACAGAGATCTGCCTCTTGAGTGCTGGGATTAATGGTGTGCATTACCATGTCCAGCTCCTTGAAGGTCTGGCGCACTTATCTTTCTCATTCTGTCTTAGTGGTCCTTCTGTGGACAGCTTCCTGCTAGGACAGCCCATCAGCACAGAGCCTGTCTCTTTTGGTCACTGCCTAACACAGGGCTGTCCCAGTACAGGGCTCTGTGAGCCTAAGAGCAGATGCCCAGGCCCAGGTGTTAGTTTGGCCAGTCCAGCTGTGTGTCCCTGGACAGGTCATCTAACCTCTCTGGACCTCAGTGTTCTACAGTCCCTCTACCTGCTGGGAGCACTCGGGCGGGACAAGCAAGACACTAGAATCATCGGGATGGCCATGGCCCCTGCAGACTGCTGCCGTCACTGTCCCTGCTATTGCTACTGCATGAAATGACTGAATGAACACACAGCGAAGACACTGGTCACACCCACCCCAGCATACGTGTGGTAGTGTCACTTCCCCAGGGTTGGAGTGGGGGACATGACGGGTTGCAACGGTAAACCAAACAAACCCATGGACAGACAGACAGACAGATGTGCTGGGCATCCAGATACACGCAGTCACCCTGACAACCCGAGTGGTTGGAGCCCAGTCACCCACCCACCACCCGACAGCATCCTGAATACATGAGCGGCAGCTGCCATGGGCATGGCCAGTGCTTACCATGAGCCTGCTAAGGTGAGCTCAGAGCTGAGCTCCTGCCCCTCACACACGGGGCAGGCAGTCTGGTGGAGGAAGCTGAGGAGGCACCAGAGAGAATGCAGGGAAGCAGCTTACATGCCCAGACTCTGGGAAAGCACCCAGCAAGCAGGGGTTGACTGCTCTGAAATATGAAGACCCTCCCCACCCCAAAGAGGTCCAGGCTCCCTAGAGATACCTACAGTCACACTGCAAGAGCCATGATACATCAGAGACCCCAGCATCTCTGCAGGCGCAGGGATGCACATGTACACATATGTACACACAATCCCTGTGTCTCGCAACTGTTAGACATGCTGAAGGGTGTACTGAGGACTACAACCCAGGGTACAAGGTTAGACCCTGAGCTCCACACCAGCACAGGTCTATTCACAGCAAGCAGTGAGCACTCAGCTTCTGACACCAGCCCACTCAAGGGTCACCAGGAAGATGTTTGCACAGAGGTTCAGGGGCCTGTGCTCAGATGCTAACAAGTTCCGGGGAGCCTGCCACCTCACACATGGGAACAACAGTCACCCCACCCCTCGACCCAAGAAAGGTGTGGCCCATCCCACACTGGCTCCAGTGGCCAGCCCCGCCCTCTCCTAAAGGTCCACAGGCAGCCTGCTTACCTCCACCATTCTCTCCCTACTTCCTGGGCCACCTCTCCAAGGGCAGCTGGCGGCCGGACCTCCCAGTGCAAAGGGCAGGGGCAGGCTTCAGGGCGGCCTGAGACTGGCCAGCTGGCTCTGCACCCAAAGCTCTCTCTAGCAGTGGTGAGGACACAGTCTAGCTCTGGGAACGGCTCGACTGGGGCTGTGGCTCCCACCCACAGAGGGCGGGAAGCAAGGACTCGGGAGGTGGGGCTGGAGCCAGCAGGCCCGGGAGAGTAGCCCACAGCTGAGGGACAGAGGGCTGGCAGGGCCCCAGCCGCAGCCTGGCCTCAGCAGGACTTGCCCCTACTACAACAGGCACACCCATCCTTCTAACTCCACCCCCACACACATACACACACCAGGTGTGGTAACTGGGGCCCAGGAAGCTTACCTAGGCTGCACACCACAGCGGCTACAGGACCAGTGGGTGGGAAGCGCTGGGGGAGGAGCTGGGCACTGAACAATGCCGCTGGAGACCTCAGGGCGGGCTGCGGCACAGAGGGGCTGAGGGCTGCCCGTGGGTCTCCTCAGATGGGGTGGGCTCTACCTCCCTCTTCTCCCCTGGGTGGGCCTGGAGCAAGTGGTATCGGTGGGGAGCAGGAAGTGCTGAGGCTGGGACCAATGTATGCCTGGCTAACCCTGCTGCAGAGAGCAGCTCACCCTGAAGGAGACACACCCACGCCCAAGTCCAGCAGCAGACTCTCAGGCTGTCTGTTCTGGGGCCAGCCTCCTGCACTTGCTCAGGAGCATTTCCTATCAGGCCAGGCTGGACCACACGTGTCCTCTGGGCCTGGCCACGGCACCTATGACCTCTGTCCACTACTGTCTGTAGCCCCCAAATTTACCAAGCTTCTTGCAAACGTGAGGACTCACTCACTGGCAGACAAGCTGGCCAAAAATGCCCGGGGTGGGGGCAAGAAGGCTCTGATCCAGTGAGCACAGGACAGTGGGGACCACCAGCAAGTGGCAGAGTCACCGGTGTCCCTCCAGGCCCAGGTCTCTGGTCACCGCCTCCCTGTGGGGGCAGGGCACCTAGGAAGCAGCCACCCGTCGAGGAGCTAGGTAGGGCCGCCTCCCCAAACCAGACCAGCAGGTTTGGGCTCTGATGGGGGAGGTGGTACAGCCTGGCCAGCTCTGGCCAGCTCCAGGAAACAGGTCCAAGAGGAGGGAGTGCTGAGTGTGTGACTCACTAATCATGGTTTGTCACACAGGAGCTCGTCTATCCCTTCCTTTCATCTCTCCTGTCTCCAGGACACAGTCACATGGGCCAGTACCAAAAGGTGCCAAAGGGTAAACAGAGGCAGGATATGCCCTCTGCATTTGCCTTGGCTTTTCCCTTTGGAGACCCATGTGTTCGGTGAATACCTGCCTGATTTAAAAGCCCCCACAAAATGTAGCATGTAGCACACACACACACGCACACACACACATGCACACACACACTCTCTCTCTCTCACGGCACCCTTACCTACTCTAAAACATGCGCTGCCGCACAGCTGGGGCTTGGGAGGACGGGCTTTGGCAGCACCTGGCCAGTGTCCTCCCTGGGTACAACACAAGCAAAATGCCAGCCCACGGGCCCATGGAAAGGTTCACAGCAGTCACCAGACACGGGAAACAAGACGAATGCCCTTTGATGTGACCCGCTGGGTCCCTAGGACAGCATGGGAGCTGATGGCCTGCACTACATTGGGGAAGGTCTCAATAACAGAGTCTAGGACCCCATTATGGTAAAGCACGAAACTCCTGGGAAGGAGGTGGCGGCTCTGGGACTTTGTCAAAGGTGGCAGAACCAAAGGGGAAGGGCAAAAGATGATGGTCTCAAGAGTCTGGAGGATCACAAGTTCAAGGCTGCCTGGGCTACAATGAACTCAGTATCATCCTGGGTGGGCAGCTAGATGAGACCCTATCTCAGTATCAAAAAACAACAACAAAAAACTCGCCAGATGTGGCGGTTCACTCAGTAGGCTGAGGCAGTGGGATCACCACATGAGGTCACCCTAGGATACAAGCCAATACAGGCTAGCCAGGGATTCAGAGCAAGGCCTTATCTCACCCCCCAGCAAAGTATAAAAGGAGGGCAGCCTAACAGTAGACCCCTGCTTGGACTCTACCAGGGAGGGGCTGGGGACTTGCCTGCCCAGCATGCACCAGTGTTCAATTCCCAACATGGGGAGAGGAGGACCAGAAGTGTTGAGAGTCCTGAGAACGGATGGCACCACCTACCTCTCCCCTGCTCTGCTGTAGTATTGGCGTGTGAGGCAATGTTCAGCCTGCATCCTTCATCAAGTCACGTTTTTAAAGAAAGACTATGTACACATGCTTAGCTGTGCATCTTATGCTGCTCACCATACCCTGTTTTGCAGAATGCGGGCCCCACTCAGGCAGCCCCGCGGAAGCGCTGTGTAGCCTTGGCCAGCCTGTGGGGCCCCGGCAGCTCTGTCTTCCACTCTCATAGGCACTGCAGGGATGCTAACGGGGCCTAGCAGGCCCCTCACAGGCACCCACATCTGTGGGTGCCTGTGACCCTCAGCAAGCCCAGGGCCACCACTGCTCACCTGCAGCATCAGGGCTGTCCGCCTCTGACCCTGCAGCCCGGCTCCTGCCCGGCTCCGCCTGCTTTTCATCTGCACTTCCTCCTGCCTCCCCGAGCATCCTTTCATGCTCACAGGAGCCGGCAGAACGTCCTCTTCCACTAAGTGTCGATTCAATACCTTTGCCTGCTTTTCTGCTGGGTCAGTCGGACCTTTGTGAGGCTAATCTGACTGCGTCCCTTTCTGCTGGAAACCAACTGGGGCCTCGCGGCTACAGCCATCTCCACACCAGGAGCCCCCGGCCATGCCCACCTCTGCCCTCATTTCCTCTCACCGCTACCCGCCGCCCGCGACAGCCACATGCAACTTCCTTCCCTGCACTCAATGCTCTGCAAGAGGCCGCCACGTGTCGCGGGTGCCCTGTGGGGCTTTCACCAGAAGCCACACACACGAAACTTGGAATTTCAGCTGACAGGCGGGTGGAGGGGCAGCAAGGACAGGGCCTGAGGGAGGCCGAGTCAGCAGAGGCAGGCCATGAAGAACTGCGCAGGCTGCCAGGGAGAGGCATGAGCTCGAGGCTGTAACTCTGGGGTGGGCTCCAGAAGACCGGAGTGGGTGTGGAGAAAGTGGTCAGGATGCAGCACGGGCCAGGCAGCTGAGGATGGTGCCAGGGGAGTGAGGGCGATGGAGGGGGCAGCCACAAACTCCATCTAAGAAAAGCAACACTAGGGAGACGGCTCAGCTGGTAAAGGGCCTGCTATGCAAGCACAAAGACCGGGTTGGTTGGATCGGTACCCATGGGAAGAGCTGGGCATGTGTGTCTATAGTCCCAGCTCCGAGGAGGGGGTCAGGCTCATACCTGGAGCTCACGAGCTAGGTGCTCTGGGCGAACTGGTGAGACCCAGCCTCAACAATATGGAGAGTAACCGAGGAAATCAACTTCTACATACACGTGCACGTGCGTGCACACACACACACACACACACACACACACACACACACACACACACACACACACACAGTCACTGCGATAAGTCGGGCACTGGGAGGGAGGTGGAGGGAGGTGGCAATGATGAGAGCCATCTTGGAGAAGTTCCAGAATGTCTGAGGCAGACCCGTCAGGGAAAGAGCGAAATGGAGACACGTCCCCATCTGACACTAAAGCCGGCCACACAAGAGAGAGGAGACAGTGAGGCTGTGACAGGCAGATCGGTGCAGGAGCATGGAGAGCCCACCAACATGACTTCACTAGTTTTATTCTTTAGGCATTTTTTATTTATGTATGAGTGTTTGCCTGCCTGTATGTCTGTGCACATGGGTGTATGCAGTACCCACAGAAGCCAGTAGAGGGTGTGGGATCTCCTGGAACTGCAGCTACAGAGCTGAGTGTTGGGACCTAAACCCAGATCTTCTGCAATAGCAGCCAGGGCTCTTAACCTCTGAGTCACCTCTCCAGGCCTGGGCTTTAAAAATTAAATGATTTTATTCCCAGTGTGATAGACCATTCTTTTAACCCAGCACCAGGAGACAAAGGCAAGGGGAATTGAGTTCTAGGTTAGCCAAAGACACATGTGAGTGAGACTGTCTCAGAAAACTAATGAGATTTAAAACAAAACAGGCGATTTTTTTCACTGTGGTAAAAGGCACACAGGATTTATCATATTAACTACTTGGAAGTGAGCATGCAACTCAGCATCTTTAAATACACTGAGTGCTGTATAACCACTGCCACTCTCTTTACCCCAGCTAAGGGAACTGCCCTTCTGTCCCCTCAGCCTCTCTGCCTCCTCCTCTCTGTGCTCTCTTAGGCACCATGTACAGGTGGAATCACGCAACCACGCTTCCTTATGCCTGGCTCTTCTCACTAGGCATAATGTTAAGGTTCAGCCACACAATAGTGTCATCCCTTTCTTTCTTTCTTCTTTTATTATTTAGTTATTTATTTATTGGTTTTACGAGACAGGGTTTCTCTGTATTGTTTTGGAGGCTGTTGGTCCAGCCCGGCCTCGAACTCACAGAGATCCACCTGCCTCTGCCTCCCGAGTGCTGGGATTAAAGGCGTGCGCCACCACCGTCCGGCCTGCGTCATCCCTTTCTACGGCTGAATAATACGCCATTCTGTGTACCTGCCGGTTTTCTCTCCATTCATGGAGGGGTGGGAGCGAGGCTGTTTCCACTTTCTGGCTGCTGCAAAGAGCACTGCAAGGAACTGGGTGTGCAGATCTCTCTCCAGTTCCTGCTTCTGGGGTTTTTATTGTTGTCAGTTTATTATTTATTTATTTATTTATGGTTTTTTTGTGACAGGGTCTCTCTACACTCCCCTGGCTGTCCTGAACTCACTCTGTAGACCAGGGTAGCCCCAAATTCACAGAGATCCACCTGCCTCTTCCTCTTGAGAGCTGGGAGGAAAGGCGTGTGAAACCATGCCTGGCCCCTGCCTTCACTTCTGTAATATGCACTTGGGACTGGAAGTGATGTGCCATGTGGACAGTCCGGGTTTTGTGTTTAACGTTACAAGCTGTTTCTCATAGTGGCTGCCGTTTTACTGTCCCACCTATGATGAATGAATTCCCAATTCCTGCATTACTTCCCTCACTACCCACACACCCCCAGTCCCACC